TACCCTATATTTCACTCTATAACATGTATATTTTTTTGCATTAGCTGCATCTGCTTTCCTTATAAGTCACTAAAATTGTTATTGTTAGAATTTTACACTAGCCACACATCTGCTGTCATTTATCATCACCATATTCTATTAGCACCAGACAATATAGACATTTATTGCACACAATCACACTGAGCACTGTATTGTATATCTGCTTTCGCAATAGACTGTTAATCCAACTGGAGTATTCTTTTTTATCCCATTGCCTTTTTTGCTTTGTAAACTATCAATAATATTGGCATTTCTATTGAAGTTTACGGGTTGTTTTGTATGTTATTCGCAAGACTGGGGTTTGTTAAGTATACCACTGAGAAAGCTACTGTACAGATGTATGACCAGAGAGGTAACAGCTAAATGGACAAATATAGACTGGAAATTTAACACTGTAAACATTGACGGTTGATATTGTCTATTTTATGTCAGCATACATCAATATGAAAAAATACACGAATCAGAAAGCACAATGGCAATAGGTAGAATATAGCCATACGGCATTACATGAGGATCAGTGGACAGCCTGGATTGCAGTTCCTAGTGTTTTATTATCTATCTAGAAACAGAATGCTTGACAATTCATAAGTGCTTGAAAGCCATCTCTCTCATCAACCACTTGTGGACTGTTTACAGATCAATTAAAGGGCCCAATTTACAGCTATTAGAAACAGTAACGGGGAAGTGGCATCAACAAGGAAATATTTATTGAAGAAAGTCGTAAAATATGGACAGCACATTAACATCAAGTTCATAATCAAGGTTTTCTTTGCATGAACATCTGACTATAGTTTACCATGGATTAAAGTGTATCTATCGGTTTGCACAGTGTAGTGAATGTTGAACCAACTGTTGGGTGTTTATTGCTGCCCATAACTCTATTAGAGAGACTTTACCTCACCAGGACAGAAATAAGGGAAAATTTAAAAAAAACCTGCTTTTTATGAGGCCTTATCCTTTCGGCCATGTAGGTATCAAAGAGTAACAGGGAATCAGCATTTTCATAAAGGGGATTTTCATTGTTAACATGCAACTGGAAATACCCAAAACAGTTGCCAGTGCTGATCAGTAGGAGTCTCATGGTGGCTATACATAGACATAGACAGAGTAGACATAACTATCTTTTTAATGACAAAAGGCAAAATTAAAAAAGGAAAAAGTCCATCCAGTTCAACCATTAAAAAAAAAAAAAAGTTATAATCCTATACCTACAGTTGATCCAGAGGAAGGCAAAAAAACCCAACCCAACAAAGCATGATCCAATTTGCTCCTGCAATTTTCCATCAGTTCATAGAAATGGTCATTTTAATGGATCTGATGGCAGCAATTATTCTTCATTTCTTCATTCTACGCACCACTGCTTTAAAAACTTTCAGAATTTTCCAACGTGATTGTTTTCATCATAGACTTGATCCCGTGACATTGGTTAAAAGTGATCAAAGTAGTAGTGAGGAACAATATTTCATTTTAACAAAATTTTAAAAGAAATGTTTTATTAAGCAATTGGATTGACATGTTTAACAAACATAAAGTCAACAGAAAAGGAGCTCCAAATATTCCAAATGCTTTTCTCTGGACTAGAAACAGCTGATGGTGGAATTTCAGACTGGAAAGAAGCCTACTTGTCAGCATCAACAGCCATATCTGGAGTTGTTCAATTTTGTGGTTAAAGTGGAAACTTTCTTGAGGGCTTGTGTAAGCAGGTCTTTGGATTTTTTTTTTTGTAAAGCAGTTTGGAAGGATTTAGAATTCAATGTAAATTCTGAGTTATTTTTATGGGTCAATGCATTTTTCACTGCATTTTCTTTGCTTGCGTAAACTCAACATGCCCATTCTGCTGAATCTGGATTCATTTCTCTCCCATCCACTAGTAAATGTGAATACAAACAAATGCAAGCTGGGAGCAACTCAAACGGTTCTCAAACTCACCTGTCTCACGATCCAGCAGTGTACTCACTGATTTGACTGGCCGTCCTTGCTCCCCAGCACCAGCATCTTAAATGTGGGAACCTGGCTGTGAAGCCGCAAGCTGTCACAGCCAGGTTCCCACACTTAAGATGCTGGGTGGCCACTGCACATGTGTGAATAGTGCTGCGCCTTGTGAATGGTTCCATAGTCTTCTGGGACCTGTCACATTTACCAGAAGACTACGGGGGAGGAAGGGGGGAGGACAGCATCCACCTCCAATCACCTAGGCAATCACAGTGGAAGTAAGAGCAGGTACTTGCCAAAATTGGGTACTGGACATGTGAAGGAAGGAGTGGGGAGAAATGAATTGGGCATGTAAAGGAATATACGGTGAAAATTTTACCAATTTTTCCTTTACATGCTCATTTCAGCTCTCCTTCCTTTACATGCCCATTTCACAGTGAAATGGGCAAGTAAAGGAAAGGGGTGGGGGTAAATTTTCACCCCACCATCCTTTATTTGCCCATTTAATTTCCCCCACTCATTCTTTCACATGGCCATTTCATTCCAATCCAGCAAAGAGACAGCCCAATCCAGCAGAGACATCCACATATATTCAGCAAAGAGACATCCCCATCCAGCAAAGAGACAGCCTCATATAGCAAAGAGACATCTCAGCCAGCAAAAAGAGGGCCCCATAAAGCAAAGAGATGGCCCAATCCAGCAAAGAGACAGTCCCATATAGCAAAGAGACAGCCCCAAATAGCAAAGAGGCAGCCCAATCCAGAAACGAGATGATCTCATATAACAAAGAAATGGTCCAATCCAGCAAAGAGACAACCAAATATAGCAAAGACATGGTCCAAGCCAGCAAAGAGACAGCCCCATATAGCAAAGAGATGGCCCCCTATAGCAAAGAAATGGCCCCATATAGCAAAGAGACAGCCCTATATAGCAAAGTGTTGGCCCAATCCAGAGGTTACAGCACATCATTACAGGTCACTGATTGGTTGCTAGAGGTTAATGCACACCCTTATCACTCACTGGTTGCAAAAGGTTACTGCACATCCTTACCACTCACTGATTGGTTGCTAGAGGTTACTGCACATCATTACTGCTCACTGATTGGTTGCTATAGGTGACTGTGCATAATTTCCACTTACTTTTTGGTTGCAAGAGAGATCGGGCAGTGATTGTGAATGGTTGCCAGAGGTTACAGCACATAATACCATTCACTGATTAGTTGCTAGAGGTTACTGCACATCATTACAGCTCACTGGTTGGTTGCTAGAGGTTACAGCACATCCTTACTGCTCGCTGATTGGTTGCTAGAGATTACAGCACATAATTACTGCTCATTGATTGGTAGCTAGAGGTTACGGCACATCATTACAGATTGATAACCTCTGCACTCCAAACCTCCCCCAACCTCTCCACTTCACCCCCCCCACCACCACCCCCTAACTATACATGCCTCCTCTTCTCAACTTTGCACCCACCTTCTCTACCTCTGTACATCTCCTCTTTGCTCACCTGTGCACCCCAAACCAGCTAGGACTTTCAAGCATGCCCCTGTTTACCTCCCCAGTAGGCAGCATTTAGCTATGGTGGATGGAATCTTGAGTCATCTGTACACTACAATACGGCAGAGCTGGGCAGCAAAAGTGACAGCACTTCACACTGAGATATTGGGACATAGCGCGGGAGGAAGACTTCAAGGGAGAAGGGGATGTAAACCTGGACAGATGGTAAGTATGGGGCATCTATTTTGGGCTCTACAATAATGACTGGTCCCAGGGCAGCTGTCCCCTTTTGCTCTACCTTAAAGATGGCCCTGATGACAGATGAGAGCAGCAGGGAGCTCTCGCTGTCTTATTTGGATTCTGAGTATGAACCCGTGGCATGCCATACTCCGGAGTAGTAGCAGAATGTATTACGGGGTGTAATTCTTGGTATATCCATGCTGTGTGCTAGAAATATCTTATACATGACAACTTTGTCATGACAAAATATGTTTTCATTTCCTTTCTATATCTTTCAAAAACCTGAACAAAACTTGAAGCAAAAAAAATTACATGTTAAAATGACTCATTATGCCTCATAGACAATACCTTGGGGTGTATGCTTTCCAAAATGTGGTCATTTTCATTGCTTTACAAAAATGTAATAGGTAGTCAGGAAATTAGATCCATTATTTATGCTCCTTGAAAGCTCCTTGAATTTTTTTAACAGAAACTATGAAAAACACATTTTGTTTTCAAGATTTTTGGTATTTTTTTCCATTTATATAGCAAAAAAACCCCAGTGGTGATTAAATACCACCAAAAGAAATCTCTATCTATTTAAAACATTTATAAATATTTCATTTGGGTACAGTGCTGCATGCCTGAGTAATTATAATTCAAAGTGTGACAGCTCTGAAATCTGAAAATTGGTCTGGGCAGGAAGGGGGTGAAAGTGTACGTATTGAAGTAGTTAAACTTGATATGTATACTACTAAATTAAAAATGTTGATTCATCCACATATAACATAACATATGGGGGGTGGCTCTCTTGTGGCCCACCACCCTACTACTTTATTCACCTAGTTAGATAGTAAAGGAACACTTGTACTATGACCACTGAGTACAGAACTTCTCAGAACAAATAAAAATCATTCTACTAAGTTCAATTACCCAGCCAAGGAAAACAAATATATTCTAATACACTTCTACTACAGAGTTACTGATTCATTAGAACTGAATTTATTTAGTGAATGTCTGGTTGAATGATGCCTTGGTTTCAGAACTGAACTCACAACTAATGATAAGAAATATGGTAGTGTACATTTTTGTTAATAAATATAATGTAATATAAAATAATTGACCAGTGAAATCCACTCACTAGTCATAGACTTCCATCACCTTACCACTAATAACTTCATTGTCCAATATAAGTGAATAATGGCAATGTCTTATATATACGTAAGCCAATTTAGGAAAGCTGAAAGCAGCTGTCTGTGAAAGGTAAAACAATCTGATTTATTAATCCAGTAACAGTTTAAGAAATCTTACCTTCTCCCTTGATGTCATGCGGGAAACCAATAACAGCAGTTTCTGGAACATCGGGATGCTCATCCTTCAAAGTAATTATATTAAATATTATAAAGTGGATATCAGGTAATAGGCTCAATTCACAAAGTTAACACACCCAGGTAAGGCTGTTTATTTTCAAAACGATTTACAGTTATTTTCAGTCCAATGCAGGGGCGGACTGACCATTCGGGCTCTCGGGCACTGCCCGAGGTCCCAGGGTCAGTAGGGGGCCCCATGAGATGCCCCTGGTACCTTTCATAGCCTTTGTTGGGTGTGGTTTGAGTGTGGGTGAAGGCACAGGGGCCTCATGATCCCCTATTGCCCGGGGGCCCCATGAGTTGTCAGTCCTCCCCTTTTCCAATAGGATACTTGTGCTAAAACCTTTTAATTGAACCTAATACATGTAAAATGTAGCTGATTTTTTTTAGCCTGCATACAGGAGCATAGTGCTTAAACCTTCTGCTTCTTGTTTATAATTCCTAGAATATTTAAATGTTATAAAACACCTCTAAATATTTAATAGTATCCCATGAAAACTTCACTTCAACATGATTCGAAGCCAGTTGTAGCTATGATACTACTGTTCTCATTTTAATTTTTTCGCTTAACCCTTCTATGATCATGAAGAACAAATTTTATACCTAAGAACAGTTACTGTTCATACTATTTTGGATCCCTTTTTTTTCTAAAAATTGAAATTCAAGCAACTAACTAAATAAACATCCAAAATAGCTATATGGCTCCATGCACACTGGGCGTTTTAATAACACTGGTAACGTTAGCTGTGTAAAGTCAAGTTAAAAATGTGAGTTTTTCAGCGCTTTTATCATTTTTGTATTAGCGTTTAGCAGCATTTTTCCGCGTTTGCATTTTTTAGAGTTTTTTTTCTACCAAAAACGCTTTTGCTGTGGTTTACCACAATTTACCACGTTTTTCAGCGTTAGAGCATTTTTACAGCTAAAAACTCCTCTAGGAACTCACTAGTTATGTTTTTTTTTTCCAGCCTAAAAACGCCCCTGCCAAAAAACGTTGATTACAGTCTATGTGTGCATGGACACACAGGATAACATGCTGGGGAGTTTACTGGCTGTAAAAAAAAAAACATCAAAAGCCAAAAACAGCCGCTGTAAAAACGTCCCGTGTGTTTGAGGACTATAAGCTAGCTGCTTGCCCTCGAGCAATGGAAAACAAAAATATTGTTTGATATGTCACCTCTAACCTGCCTTCTGCATCTGAGGGGCTTTAGCCTGTTCACTCATTTTCAGTATTGCCTTTTGCGTTGAGCATATTTTATGCAAAGATTTTATTGAACAAAGATAGTTGTTGTAAATATATTAGATATAGTGTTTGCTTTATTCACTTTTGCTAATTTGTAGAAATTCATCAAAGGGTGGAAATTCTCTCTGAGTGCTTCGAAATATCAGCTATAAAAGCAGCTGATATGTTTCCAAGAATTGCTTTGGAAAACATGACAATACTGTGGGTAAGTTCTCTGAACACAACATATATCTAAAATGTAATTATTTAAGTGTCTGGTGGCCTTGGGCTGGAAAGATTAAATATGAAAGTTAATTTTTTTTAGAAAATCAACATCAGAAGTATTTGTATCCGATTACAGTTGAGGTCTCCCATAGGAAATAAGAGATAACATTTGCTGCATATGTGATATGCTACATTGAACATTTACACAAAGATAAATTTTACATACCAGCCACTTTGCATCCATATGGGACATTACATAAGCTATTTGCACAGGGTGACTGCCATTACCACTCGCTGTTTGCCAAACATAAAAAACATGGCCTGGATGCAAGTGGTAATATCAAGCTGCAGCCATGAGCGTGGTATAATTTTTTAGAGCTGGTGATCTACTGTTCAGTAAAAGTAATCTGGGTGGCTCTACAGCCACAATTGTCTGCCCAACTCCTTGATCTCCTCTGTGACTAATGAACCCAGAAGTGACAATGATTTCAGAGCTGCCATTCCCTGGTTGCTATAGCCAGGGATGCAGCTAACCAAGTATGATTTGTGCTTGATTAGCTGCCGATAGCTATCACATAGGGGGCTTGTCAGCCCTCTTGTGATAGATATAAAGTTAAATGAAAAAACAGAGATGTAATAAATGCAATAAATACATAAATAAATAAATAAATAAATACATAAACATAATTTAAAAACATGCAAAAGCACCCCAGTCTCCCCTGAGCATAGACATAAATTAACATATGGCATACAGAAGGTCCCACATGTATATGTAAATAGCAAATGCACCATACATGTGAGGTTTCTCCGCAAAAATCAGAGTAAGGGCAATAATTCCAGAGCCATCATTAATAATTAACATTACACTGATAACCTGGAAAGGCTTTCAATTAAAAGTTTTAGGTACCGTAGTTTGTCACCATTTCATTTTGAGTCTTTTGACATGTTTGATATGTATATTTACTCAACTCAATATCATCTGTTATATTTTACAAAAACAAAATGGCTATTCTATTTGCCTTTGATAAATGGCTGCGCATATATTACAGTATGTGACAGAAAAAAAATTCCAACTACCATCATTTTATTCTCCAGGCCTTTGCTTTCAGAAAATAAGTTTGTGGGCTCTATGTAATTTTCTAGCAGTATTTTCTAGCTGATTTTAAAGATTAAAAAAAAATAAAAAATTGCCTTGGACAGCAAGTGGTTAAAAAAAAAACAACTGTGTTTCAAAAATGTGGCATTAGAAAAACATACACTTTCTATATTCTTTTCCTTGTAGTTCTATAGCCTGTAAAGACTTGAGAACAATGTCCTTTCCCAATTCGTTTTAAGTGCTGTGCTGTATCTGGCCCTCTGTTGTAATACCACTTTTTTGTAAAACTCTCTGTAATTAGTTCTTTGCAAATAAAACTTAAATCAAGGCAAAACAACAGGTTCACTTTAATGGCAGTCTCATCCGTTTCCCTTTGTTACTCCACCACTTCATTTTTGTATGCCCAGTCTTTTGTGCCATGTCTCCTCCATTATAGTTGAAAGGGTCTATTGGGATTTGGGTGACACCATTGATTGGTCATACATACAATAAGAGGAACACCGCACCGCTTTGGGGATAAGGGAAACAGCCTGTGAGTAAATCTGTCTAGCAGACTGTATGTTAATAAAAACCTGGCAGATAACTGCACCTAGACAAAGTCCAGTTGCATTTAGACTAAAGCTAAATTCACCCCTCTGTGTGATACATGCTCTGCCTTTTTACATGCAATGCAATTTTTAGGCATTTTAACAGCTGCACGTTATCATCATGAGTGACATTGGCAAATTATTATTTTTTGCATCAAATTAAAATATTTAAGCAATTTTATGTTAACACTAATTATTTTCATATTTACCAATGCGTCCTCAATTTCTGCTGTTCCCAACCGATGCCCGCTGATATTTATTACATCATCCATTCGTCCTGTTATCTGATAATACCCTTCATTTGTCCTGTGAGCTCCATCTCCAGTAAAATAGTAGCCTGGAAGAATTACACAATAAAATAAAAAAATAAATTAATCAGATTATAATTACATTTCATTTTTTTTAATTGATTGTCACTTACTCTTTGCAGAAACATGGATGATAACCCCACCATACTATTTCTTCACTTAGGTGACCATATACAGTATATACAGTATTTTTTAATATTAGCAACACTACAGAGTAAACCCTATATATATTGCAGTACAGTGGCTAAATGGTTAGCACTTCCACCTGGCAGTCCTAGGGTCGTTGGTTCATATCCCAACCAAGGTAACAGCTGCCTGTAGTTTGCATGTTCTCCCTGTGCCTGCGTGGGTTTCCTCCGGGTACTCTGGTTTCCTCCCACACTGCAAAACTCATGCTGGTAGGTGAATTGGCTCCTGTATATGTAAATTGGCCCTAGTATACATATGTATGAATGTTCGTTAGGGACCTTAGATTATACACCCCTTGAGGGTTAAGGTCTGATGTGAATGTACAATATATGTGTAAAGCACTACATAAATTGATGGCGCTATATAAGTACCTGTAATAAATACATTATATGTATATATACATATATATACACAGGTGCATCTCAATAAATTAGAATATCATCAAAAAGTTAAAGCAACTCTAAAGGTTTTTTTTTTTTTAAATAACAAACATGTCTAAACTTACCTGCTGTGTGCAGTGGTTTTGCACAGAGCAGCCTGGATCCTCCTCTTCTCGGGTCCCCCATAGGCTCTCCTGGCTCCTCCTGTCTGTCAGGTGCTTCCACAGCAAGCAGCTTGATATGGCGCATCCGCTGGTCCGTATGTCCATTCACCACACACCGTGTCTTGGCCCTGCCCCCTCTCCCTCCTCATTGGCTGAGTGGCTGTGATTGACAGCAGTGGGAGCCCATGGCTCCCGCTTGCTGTTTCAGCCAATGAGGAGGCAGAGACCCGGAACAGCCGAGGCTGTCATTAAATGCTGGATCGTGATGAGGCTCAGATAAATCTGCTGCACACTAAAGGTTTTTTTTACCTGTAAATAATAAGCCTTTAAACTTCCAAAAAGTGAAACTCTGTGTCCTGAAAATCAAGTATTCACACAGTGGTATTGCACACAGCAGTTTATTCCCTTTGTATGTATTGGAACAAATATAAAACAGAGGCAGAAAAAAATATGACATAATATGTCACACAAAAACCCCAAAAAGTTGGGGCTGGACAAAAGTATTGGCACCCTTAACTTAATATTTGGTTGCACACCCTTTTAAAAATACATAACTGAAATCAGTCGCTTTCAATAAGCTTCTGACACCTCTACCCATATTTTGGACCACAGTCCTTTGCACAAGCTCCTCCTCTCTTATGAAAGGACAAAAACACCTTTTCCCAACAGCAATATCTCTCCTAGATCTGGGCTCCTCCTCAGAACTCTCCAGGTGCTCCCACAGCAAGCAGCTTGAGGATGGCGCAAACCCAGCTTTCTCCGCTACAGTGCGTCAGTGATGCCTTGCACACAGGCACACACAGCCAGAGGCAGCAAAACAACCCCAAAACATCATTGAACCTCCACCATAACACCGTAGGCTAGTGTTTTGGTAGGCCCTCATTCCCGGTCTCCTCAGTAGAATGATGTGCTTTGAAAAGCTCTATCTTGGTGCTGTCCACAAGAGTTTCCCAGAAGGCTTTTGGCTTACTGTACATTTTGGCAAACAGTGGGTCTCTGTGTCAGCCGTGGGGTCCTCCTGGGTCCCTCCTGCCATAGGCATTCCTGATAGTTCTTGCTGACACTGATGAGAGCCTGCAGAGACCCGGAACATGTTTGGGAGGCTGAGGCTATTCTGCGCTTGCAATCTTTCATTCACAAGCTACAGTGGATCTTCTTGATGAGCGCACTGCTCTAGTTCTCTGGAGATGGACTTGTATTGAGATTGGTTGATATTTTGATTTTGGTTCTCAGGTCCTCATTGACAGGCTGGGGGTCCATGCTGCAGACACACAGAAGTGGTTTTTTTTACCTTCATGCATAAAGCCTTTAGAACTACTTTAATATGTTTGAAAGTACTGTCAAGTTTGTGTGAAAAAGTGAAACTCATGCAATATTATATGGAGAAATATTGCCAACAATTTCGGCCATGACTGTATTATATAGACACAGAGTGATATATTTCAAGCTTTTCTTGCTTTGATGATTATGGCTTACAGCTAGTGAAAACCCAAAATTCGGTAGCTCAGAAAATTAGAATATTACATAAGTCCAAATTAAAAAAGGATTTTTAATACAGAAATGTTGGCTTACTGAAAAGTATGTCCATGTACAGTATAGTATGCACTCACTATGTGGTTGGAGCTCCTTTTCCATGAATTACTGCATCAGCCTGTGGCACTGCTGAGGTGTTATGGAAGCCTAGGTTGCTTTGATAGTGGCCTTCAGCTCATCTGCATTGTTGGATCTGGTGTCTCTCATCTTCTTGACAATATCCCACAGATTCTCTACGGGGTTTAGGTCAGGCAAGTTTGTTGGACAGTCAAGCACAATGATACCGTGATTATAAAAAAAGATAGTGGTACTTTTGGCAGTGTGGGCAGGTGCCAAGTCCTGCTGGAAAATGAAATCAGCATCTCCATAAAGCTAGTAAACAGAGGAAAGCATGAAGTGCTACAGAATTTTCTGGTAGAGGGCTGCACTGACTTTGGACTTGATAAAACACCATGGACCAACACCAGCAGATGACGTGACTTTCCAAATCATCACTGACTGTGGAAAATTCACACTGGACCTCATGCAACTTGGATTCTGCACCTCTAAACTCTTCCTCCAGACTCAGGGCCTTGATTTTCAAATTAAATGCAAAATTTACTTTCATCTGAATCATCACATCGCATCCCCCAGGGGAAGCCACATGACCCTGTGGCGTAACACATTGGGGAGGGGCTTGGTGACGTCACGATGCTTGCAGCTTGGGAACATGGAACGGTATTATGAGAACCCTGTAACAATATACAGTACCGAGTGAATGTAGATATGCTAGCTATATTTGGTGCGATATAGCACCCGCAATATGTGAACGGCTAATTTTACATTTTATTAATTAAAAAAGCATTTTTTTAAGGATAAAGGACTATTTCTTGCCTATTCATTTTTGTGCTGACCGGAGGAGTATGGAGGAGAAGGATCTACAGTGGGGAAAATAATTATTTGATCCCCTTCAGATTTTGCAGGTTTGCCCACTTACAAAGAAATGAAAGGTCTATAATTTTTATCATAGGTGTATTTTAAATGATAGAGACAGGATATCAAACAAAAATCCAGAAAAAACACATGATACAAATGTTATAAATAGTGTTGTTATAAAGTAAGTAAAATAAGTATGACTTAATCAAAACATGACATGGTGGAGAAACCCTTGTTGGCAAGCACACATCACAGGAGGGATTTTGGTCCACTTTTCCTTACAAATCTTCTCTAAATCCTTGAGGTTTCTTGGCTGTCACTTGGCAACTTGAAGTTTCAGCTCCCTCCATAACTTTTCTATAGGTTTAAGGTCTGTAGACTGGCTAAGCCACTCCATGACCTTAATGTGCTTCTTCCTGAGTCACTCTTTTGTTTCTTTGACAGTATGCTTTGGGTCACTGTTATGCTGGAAGACCCATCCACGATCCATCTGCAGTGTTCTTGCTGAGGGAAGAAAGCTCTCATCCAACATTTTACAATACATGGCCCCGTCCATTGGCCCCTTAATTCGGCAAAGTCGGCCTGTACCTTTAGCAGTGAAATAGTCCCAAAGTATAATGTTTCCACTTCCATGCTTGGCTTTAGGGATGGTGTTCTTAGGGTTATAGTCAACCTGTTTTCTTCCTCCAAACACGGTGAGTCGAGTTAATGCCAAAGAGCTCAATTTTGGTCTCATCTGGCCACAGCACTTTCTCCCAATCCTTCTCTGAATCATTTAAATGTTCATTAGCAAACTTTAGAAGGGCTTGTACATGTGCCTTCTTGAGCAGGGGGAACTTGCGGGCGCAGCAGGATTTTAATCCATGGCTGTGTATTGTGCTACCAATGGTTTGTTTGGTGACTGTGGTTCCAACTGCATTGAGATCATTCACAAGCTCCTCCTCCTGTGTAGTTCTGGGCTGATCCCTCACTTTTCTCATGATCATCCTTGCCCCATGAGGTGAAACCTTGTATGGAGCTACAGAATGAACAACTGATGGTTATTTTGTATTTCTTCCATTTGGAAATAATCGCTCCAACAGTTGTCTCCTTCTTACCAAGCTTCTAGCTGATGGTATTGTAGCCCATTCCAGCCTTGTACAGGTCTACCATCTTATCCCTGATGTCCTTTGACAGCTCTTTGGTCTTGCCCATGAGGTTTGAATGGTAGAAAGAGATTCTGTGCACAGGTGTCTTTTATACACATAATGGTTTGTCGTTAGGAGCGCTTTCTTAAATTGACAGGACTAATCTCTGCACCATATGAGCACATAGGCAGTCTGTGGGAGCCAGAATTATTGTTGTTTGGTAGGGGATGAAATATTTATTTTACTCACTGAACTGCAACTCAGTTTATAACATTTGTAGCAAGTGTTTTTTCCAGATTTTTGGTTGATATTCTGTCTCTATCATTTAAAATACACCCATGATAAAAATTATAGACCCTTCATTTCTTTGTAAGTGGGCAAACTTACAAAATCTGCAGGGGATCAAATAATTATTTTCCCTACTGTATAAAGAAGAGGTGATCATTGAAAGAGGATTCCAACTCAAGAAGTTCCAATAATAAATCCAAATTAAAGAGACATAGGTGCTATTTGGGCGCAGGGGAGGAAGGTGAATATTTGGCTGTAAAGATGAACTTCACTCTTATCATACCAAACATGAAGCCATAGTCTCAAAGTGAGGGCACATCTGGGGTGTTGGTGGAGGAGCACAATTGTCATGATTTGAAGGCACGGAATGATGTTGAATATATCCACAGTGATTGAATTAATTTATTGAAGACACATACAGTGGGGATCGAAAGTTTGGGCACCCCAGCTAAAAAATTTGTATTAATGTGCATAAAGAAGCCAAGGAAAGATGGAAAAATCTCCAAAAGGCATCAAATTACAGATTAGACATTCTTTTATATGTCAACAAAAGTTAGATTTTATTTCCATCATTTACACTTTCAAAATAACAGAAAACAAAAAAAATAGCGTCTGCAAAAGTTTGGGCACCCTGCAGAATTTATAGCATGCACTGCCCCCTTTGCAAAGCTGAGACCTGCCAGTGTCATGGATTGTTCTCAATCATCGTCTGGGAAGACCAGGTGATGTCAATCTCAAAGGTTTTAAATGCCCAGACTCATCTGACCTTGCCCCAACAATCAGCACCATGGGTTCTTCTAAGCAGTTGTCTAGAAAACTGAAACTGAAAATAGTTGACGCTCACAAAGCTGGAGAAGGCTATAAGAAGATAGCAAAGCATTTTCAGATGTCAATATCCTCTGTTCGGAATGTAATTAAGAAATGGCAGTCATCAGGAACAGTGGAAGTTAAAGGAAGATCTGGAAGAAGACCAAGAAAAATATCAGACAGAACAGCTCGCAGGATTGTGAGAAAAACAATTCAAAACCCACGTTTGACTGCACGACCCCTCCAGAAAGATCTGGCAGACACTGGAGTTGTGGTACACTATTCCACTATAAAGAGATATTTGTACAAATATGGTCTTCATGGAAGAGTCATCAGAAGAAAACCTCTTCTACGTCCTCACCACAAAAATCATCGTTTGAACTTTGCAAATGAACATATAGACAAGCCTAATGCATTTTGGAAACAAGTTCTGTGGACTGATGAGGTTAAAATTGAACTTTTTGGCCGGAATGAACAAAGGTACGTTTGGAGAAGAAGGGGCACAGAATTTAATGAAAAGAACCTCTGTCCAACTGTTAAGCATGGGGTTGGATCAATCATGCTTTGGGGGTGTGTTGCAGCCAGTGGCACAGGGAACATCTCACGAGTAGAAGGAAAAATGGATTCAATAACATTTCAGCAAATTTTGGATGGTAACTTGATGCCATCTGTGAGAAAGCTGAAGTTAAAGAGAGGATGGCTTCTACAAATGGATAATGATCCTAAACACACCTCGAAATCCACGGGGGATTACATCAAGAGGCATAAACTGAAGGTTTTGCCATGGCCTTCACAATCTCCTGACCTCAACATAATTGAAAATCTATGGATAGACCTTAAAAGAGCAGTGCGTGACAGACAGCCCAGAAATCTCAAAGAACTGGAAAACTTTTGTAAGGAAGAATGGGCAAAGATACTTCAAACAAGAATTGAAAGACTCTTGGCTGGCTACAAAAAGCGTTTACAAGCTGTGATACTTGCCAAAGGGGGCAGTACAAGATATTAACTCTGCAGGGTGCCCAAAAACTTTTGCAGACGCCATTTTTTTGTTTTCTGTTATTTTGAAAGTGTAAATGATGGAAATAAAATCTAACTTTTGTTGACATATTATAAGAATGTCTAATCTGTAATTTGAATGCCTTTTGGAGATTTTTCCATCTTTCCTTGGCTTCTTTATGCACATTAATACAAATTTTTAGCTGGGGTGCCCAAACTTTCGATCCCCACTGTATATATGAAACAAGGACTCATTGGTGATTTGGGACATGGGATTCTTTATTATATGGGTGGAACTTATATAATTGGATGAATTTTTATTATTATTTGTTTATGATTTTTTTGGTTGCACAGAGAGAAAAGCGCAGCACTGTTATAGTTTAAAGTTTGGATGCAACAAATTTATATAAGTATGTGTAGTTGTGGGCAGCTTTTCATTTAAATAATTGGAGTAGAATTTCTATTTAACTTTGAAGCTGCTTGCAAGATTTTCATTTTATTTTGACTAGTAATTTGTGTTAACAAGCAATTGAACAGGTGTCCCTAATAAAGTGGCCGGTGAGTGAATGTCCAAATACAATGTAGTTCTCTTCTAGTGAATGGCTGTCTGTCTTCCTTTTATCACTGTTCTCTTTAATCTGTTTCTGTGCATAGTTATCATTGCTGATTACACTAATCTTCAGAAATACCAGTGAAATAGAAGTAAAATACAAACTTAGTATATTGATCATTAACCAGTGCAGTAGCATGGTGTTATTACAGTACCGGAATTTCTGAATCATTCATGCTTCTGGTTACAGAAAAAAAAAAAAAACACCAGTCCTGACCGGTCATAGATGGATAAGCAGGGATTGGCTGAGATTTGAACCATCTATGGGCAGGCTGATTGTACCCAGTCTGATTGTTGTGAAACCTGGGTACAACAAGCATGCTGGATTTTTCCATGCAATTATGGAAGAAGCTATGGCCGTTAGCAATAATCACTGTGTTCTCCTGGCATGGATGGCTCCCCCCTCTGCCTGGAGAATAGAATAGTTCTGCCCGGAGAACAGAATAGCTCCACGAGAAGGATTTCCCCATCAACTCTGACTGTGTTGATGGGGGAATCAAACAATTTCCTTTCCTGCGACCCATGGTTGTGGGAAAGAAAATTGCATCATCTATGGCCTGCCTGAGGCTTATGTTATGAACGTTGAAGTATAAATGAGAGCTAAAAACAATTAGCCGAAGTTTGGAATCATTTTTCCATACATTACACAAAACTGTATTTTCCTTTACTTGCTATCCCATTCAGGACTTCTGAAACCATCCAAGCTCTACAGAGAGGAAGCATGGATTTGTCATCCTATCCTGCAGATGGGAGGTGCGGGGGAGCAAGGTGAATGTTTTGCTGTAAAGATGAACTTCACCCATATCTTACAATTTGCAGCAAAGCCAGCTTTAGAAATGTTACAGAAATCGAGATATCTTCAGATACTTACAGATAATTGAATGCTTTTTATTCTTTGAATTTTTACTAACTTTACAGGAACTTCCCAGGATGCATCTTTAGGTTCCTGGTTGATTCACCAATGAATAAAAAAAATAATTTACAGCATGCAGTCATCAAATAATATGACTGGTTTGTTTACCCTGCCCTGAGTTTAGAAGCCCTGAATCAGATGTTAAAAATTGACAAAAAAGAATTCTGGCCATTAATATTGGGGAATCTTCTACTTTTACCTCTATGAAATATTGAGTTTCTACAGCCTTCCTAGCTAAAGGTACTTCTAAATCCAGTGGTAGTTAAGGAAACTTATCAAAGTGAGTTCAAGACAAAAGTTATTTAAATTTAAATTTATTTTTATTTTTGCATTTCCAGTCCTTGTGCACAGTGATGCTCACAATCTAGTGTCCCTACTACATTGATACACTTGTGCAAAGACCATAGTGCTGGTTTTTGAATAGAAACCAGCTGGTCTGTTAGGAAGTCTTTAGATTGTAGGACCAAACTGGAGGTCCCAGAGAAGATTCATGCAGACATAGGGAGAACATACAAACTCCATGCAGACAGTATCTGTTCTAGAGGAAATCTAGGCAGACATAAGTGAACATACAAACCTGATGCAGGCAGTGTGGGATTCAAATATAGGGCTTCAGTATGGTTCAGTAACAATGCTAAGGACATACTGCAGTACTGCACCCTTTACTGTACATGTTGTCAGTTTACCACCTGGCTTTTAGGCTTTTAGATCAGTTGACCAATATGGCTGAAATGTGTACCTGGATATGCTTTGAAGTAAGCATCCACAAATCTCTGATGATCTCCATAGATGGTTCTTGCCATGCCAGGCCATGGTTGTGCAATACACAGAGCACCAGAAACATCGCCACCTTCAATGACCTTTCCCTGGTGAATAAAAGAAAAAACAGATTCCCTTTACTATCCTTAGTACACAATCTAACTAATTAATCTCAGTTTGCAGTGATTGTTGGCTTACCAACATTATCTTCTTGCAATGAGTTTAATAGTCTTTAACAATTGGTGTCCCTAGTCCTCCTCATCCTTCCTGTAATATAGTTGCCAAGGAAGGACTCAGAGGCAAGTAATGCAAGCTGTCATCTTTCAGAAAGTATGAGACAGATCACATTTAGCAATTTAGTGATTCAATAAAAAAAAATGAAGCCAATTGTCAACAGCTGATGCTAATACCCCTTACACAACATATTATACTCCAAGCCCTGCTGCCATCATTGTATGGCTAATACTGACATCCACAGTCTATTGTTGTTAGGCTTCTTCTTCGCAGTAGCTATTTTCTTATTATACTGTATGTTATATATATATATATCCAAACTGTATCATTATAACAACTTTAAATACTGGAATTATTGTACACTACTACAATAAAGAGGACCACATTACTGTCTGGGTACATATTTTAAGTGTGCCTGCTGTTGTCACTCACCTGTTCATCTAGAAGCTCAGGTCTTATGCCTAAGAAAGGCCTCATAGCCATGCCAGGGATAACCTCACCTTCTTGCTCGGAGGGACGAGGGGAGATGCAGATTCCACCAGTCTCTGTAGAGCAGAGCACACCCCTTAATTAACAGTCATAGGCTATATGGAAAAACATTTTTAGATATATTTTTCAACTTAGTAAACATATTTGGATTTGTTTTATTGAATATTTAATATAAGGTTGCAAGTCACTTGGTTTATGTAATAACTGTATCAAAACCTAAGAACAAAAATTGATAGTATTGCAGCTTACTGATCCTTAGATGTGGCGGCTGCACTAAGTTTCTTTTTTCACAATTTTTTCCTTTATGTTGCCTTGCTAATCCTGCCGTTAACTGACTTCCTGCCCTGTGGTGACAACAACCCTACTGAGCAGTGTTGTGACCTTAGGGCACGGCGTATGTTAGAACTACAAAACACTGTGTTGGGTCTACATAACATGTCCCTCTCTTCTCCATTACAAGGGGAGATGTTATGTGGCCCCAGAGATAGCAAGGAACAATGCTAACTGATAACAGTGCAGAGGCAGAAAGCCCAGGAAGGTATCAGCTCACAAGGTTTCTAGCTAGAAAACAACTCTTTTTTTTTGCACTTGTTGATCAGACATAATAAAACACTTTCAAAGTATATCTATGCCTTATGCACATTGGGTGTTTAACCCCTGTGCATGAGATGAAGGCAGAAGGCACAGGTGTACCATCCAGACCCTTTGTCGGTAGCCTGAAAAAGGATAAGTTTACCTTTGGCAACATGTTACACCTGTATTTAGGGTGTAACATGTTACCAAAGAATACCTACTCGCACTCCTCCGATTCCTTGCTGTGACAGCGGGCAGGGGACCTTCTTCCTATTCCCTATGTCACAATTTAAAAAGATTGTGGTCGTGTGGAGCACCACCCAAATGGCTGCGTCATTCATTCTCAGAGATCTGGGGGATAAATGAACTACAACTACTGTCTGCTACCATGGCAGACAGCTTGTAGTTCTCAATGAACTGAGAGGACACTGGTGAGGGTTCTTTTAGTTCATTAATTCTTCCTACTCTTCAGTAAATGTCTTCCTGTATGGGAGGTACAGGCAGACAGCTATACTGAGAGTCTGCAGTAGCCTGACATTGGACCCGTGATCTGCTGATCATGGTTGAATGCTCTGCAAGCTCTAGAAAAAAATTATAAATGCACTTTTTTTTACCTGCAAAATCTGTGCATGTCTTATTTTTTTGTTAAAAAGTAAACGTAGCCTTTAAACTCTATCAGAGGCTGAAATATGCTACAGTTGGATGAGGCTGGACCTTGTGGTATGAACATTTAGGGCAGTATGAGCCAAAGAATGATCGCCCAGAATGCAAGAAAGCTGTGTTTCCGAGCATTTCTTCTTGGCTGCATATTGCCCTAAACATAAGTACTACGTGGTGCACCATCCAGCCCCATCCAACTACAGCACCATTCAGCCTCTTACAGAGTTTGATAGGCTGATGGTAGAGAGGCTGGATGGTGCACTTGTGACTTTTGCTGCCACTTTAAAAGCCAGAAATATATGCACCGGGGCTAAATATTCAGACCACAAGAGAGCAAATAAGATACATTCATTACTTGGGCTTACAGCTTTTCTCAACCTTTTCAACTCAGAGGAACTCTTAAAATAACCTTTGGGTCTCAGGGAACACATGCTAAAAATGACTATATCTACAACTCATGATACATTATGGTGATGGTCAGTGGGAAGAATGCTCTCTACGATTGTGGTCATTGGGAAGAATTACCCCCTTACAGATAGCCACAAAGATCAATGGTGTCAGTGGTAACTTATCTGAGAGGCAGAAATTGCTCAATGATAAAGGAACCCCTAGCAGCTCCTGGATGAACCCTATGGTTCCATTGAACCCTGGTTGAAAAACCATACTTTAGACTGTCAGGAGAGAAGTACACTGATTGGCATTGCTGACCTACTTCTTAAAGTACTAAATGCTTGGCTGTCATACTCATTCAACAACTTCAATAGATTCTGAATGGCACCCTTAGCTACATACAGTATATAGCAAATAAAGTCAGAATTTGATCATTGTTCTGGTTCAGTGGCCTGGAAAGTACGAATGCCAGAGGATCAGCATGACAGCCAAACAACCACATGGTTGCATACTTGCTATAAGTAAGTTAGTGAGGAAATAATAAAGGCTGAAAGAGGACTAATAACTTTCTGCTCTATCTCACCCCCCCCTTTTTTTTTTGGCACTTTTTTGGAGGGAGGAGAGCAGGTACCTGGTTTTGACCAGTACACGCTTCCACTTTCAGTCAGATCACCTTGGCAGATCCACTCGAAGTCTCTCCCCCTCTCACAACCTTCTGGGAAACGTCACAGGTTCCAGAAGGCTGCGGGGAGATTAGCAAAATGCAGAGTGGCTCTTGCATGTGGCCGCAAGGAATTACAGCTGACTTCCCACAGTAAACATGCCAGCGCTGGAGACCAGAAGACCAGTGAAGAACTAGTTCTGGAGAGGATGGTGCTGGACCCCTGGAAAGGTGAGGGTCCTTTTATTAAAGTCAACAGCTGCAGTATTTGCAGCTATTGACATTTCATTTTTTTCAAACAGGATGAAGAACCGTTTTAAGAACCAGGCAGCTGGCATTTTCAATAGGAGGTCAGCAATTGCAGAAATACACTTATTACTTCTCTCATGATAGATTTGCTTTAAAAGTTCATTATACATACATCTCTGCAATGTAACTGGCAGCTTTATCTGATACATTAGTATAACATTACAATAAAACGGCCTTTCCACAAAGTAAACAAATGCCCTGTTACAGTCTAAGCAGCCATTTTGAGCAATTAACTAAGCCTCAGCGAAGTCAACTCATTTATCCCAGATAGAGAATTATCCATTGCCTTATCAGTAAAGTGAATATAAAAAGAGCTTTGGGGCACCAAATTACTTTTATTACACAGCATTAGTCTATGCTGCCCATTATCTGCATCCTGAGATTATGCTGCCCACAAATCTTAATCATTCTTATTCTGAGAAGATCAGAATTAGATACATTCGGAGACTTCCCCTAGCAGGGTCAGCCTTAATTGGACCCTTTAATACATTAAACCACTATTTGTGGCCAAGTAGCCAATACAACTGGGTTAGAGGAAAAATATTGTCATACTGGGAGCTTGTAGGTTGTGTATGTATAAAATGTTCATCTGAATCCACGTGGACCACTTAACAAATTAAAAAGATATTAAACAAATCTCTGCAAATTAATTTGACTAAGTACATGCAAATGAGACCCCACTAATTACCGTAACTTAATCGCTTCAAATCTCCTTAAACAAAGCTCAACTGTAATTGGTACAGTAGGTCCCTTGGAAGGCAGAGATGGTTAATACGTATGATGCTTATCCCTCTGTAATGACAATTAACCCACTCACGGCACAAGGTATTCACTGCAAAGGCTACAAAATACTTTTTTTACTACATATTTATTTTTGTTTAAACATTTTTTTCTAAATGCATTTTACTGTATCCATAAAAATTCTAATTCTATGTTGTATTTAATTTATATGTCCCTTTAACAGAACAAAGGGGCATAGATGACAGGTTTGCGGTTAATTGTTGTTGTTTTTTTTTTTACACAAAGAAGCTTTCACCAAATTAATTTTGTCCAGTGGATTAAAGAGGGACACTCTGGATTTCAAATCAAGGGTGGATAGGTCATATTTTTATGCTACTGTTTTTTAAACCAAACGTTACATTTATATATTTGGTTCATAATATATGAAAAAAGATTGCTGCTGCATAAATTGCAAATTTGGATTTAGAATAAAATTCCTTTTGTCACTGGTATAAATGAAGAAAACTGAGAACACTGAAGGCTTTTGAACTTCTTATGGTATACCACGTTAAAAGATGACTTAGCATCATACAGTATATACATTTTCATGTTTAATGCACGCATGCTTAGCATTGTGTTGTAGGTATTATTACTTCCATCAGGACCCCCGACAATGCCATCAACTGCTTTTCTGTCTAGAACAAAGATGTCTTTGTTCTGGCATCATTCAGGGTCAGCGTTTATTTCCAGGAGGAGGAGCTGCCTCAGATATGGCACAGTTATGTAATTCCTGATGTCTGTGCAGCTTTTGGCTGTGTTAAAAAATGTCTGACGCAGATCAGACCCTGCTGCATTCACCCACCCTGTGATTTGCTACAAAGCTACAATGTTGCAGTCTGATCACTAGGAGAGAGGAAATGTTGCCTGAGCCTAGGCTCACACTATTGCGAGTGGTTGTGGGGTGTGCGAATTGCACATGTTCCCACAGCCACAACCACCCACAGCTGGGTGCGGGAACAGCTGCGAAAGCACTATGCGATTTCCTTGCCGCTACATTTTAAGAATAATGCAGCACCTTTTTTCTTGCATGAAACGCAGGCACAGCAGCCTATGCAAATGAATGAGCTGCTGCGCAAGGTCTGAACCTGATAACATTATCTAAACCTGGGCAAGGCCACTTGTCTGGAGATCAAGGACTGCTAATGATAAAATGCAGACCTTTTGGAAAAAATACTGCTGCTGTATATTGTGATATATCAATGATGTATTCATGCAGATTTGTAAACCATCTCAATACTGGGCACTTTTACCCCCTTCCTGCCCAAGCCAATTTTCAATGTTGTTGCACTTTGAATGACAACTGCACAGGCATGCAACACTATACCCATAAAAAAAAAATTATAATTTTTTTCACACAAATAGAAAACTCAGTGGTGATTAAATACCACCAAAAGAAAGCTCTGAGTTTTTTTATTTATTTGCTAAATATACAAAAAAGACCAAAACGTTTGAAAAAAAAGGTGTTTTTTTGGTTATAAAATTTAGCAAATAAATATCCTTTTTTCACAAATATAGGTAAAATGTATTTTCCTACATTTCTTTGGTGAAAACAACCCAAACTAGTTTATATTATTTAGTCTGTAGGAAAGTATTATAGAGTCCACAAACTATGCTATATACAGTATATTTTATATCTGACAATCGATCAATCCTGATGTCACTTCTTGAGGCCTGAAAATGCCA